CGGGAGGGTGGATTTGGATTGGTGAGCCCTACTCCCCCCCTTCTTAAATTGGTTGTTGGACCCATGGGAAGGGGGAAGCGGCAGATATCAAGCAGGAGGGAGGAGGAGGGGTCAGGAGGGAGAAGCAGAGAAAAAGAAGGAAGAGGCGAGGAGGAGGAGGAGGAGGAGAGGAAGAGGAGGAGGCAAGAGGAGGGAGGAGGAGGAGGAGGAGGCAGGAGGAGGGAGGGAGGAGGAGGAGGAGGAGGAGGAGGAGGAGGAAGAGGAGGAGGAGGAGGAGAAGGAAGGAGGAAAGAGGAAGAGGATGAGAAAGGAAACGAAGAAGGAAGAGGCGGAGAAGGAGGAGGATGAGGGAGGAGGAGGAGGAGGAGGAGGAGGGAGGAGGAGGAGGAGGAGGAGGAGGAGGAGGAGGACACGCAGGAGGAGGAGGAGGAGGAGGAGGAGGAGGAGGAGGAGGAGGAGGAACGCCTATCATCTCATTCGCCGTTTCAGCCCCGGCAGGCGGGGGAAGCGGCGCGTACCAAAGGTCTTGTTTTATTCGTGTGTTACCCTTCACTGTCGCCCATCGAGCATCAATGTTCGGCGAGCCCGTGTCGGGATGAAAGGCCAATGTCCAGGAAGGCTTCGAGAGGTCTGGGAGGCCACGCACGTAGTGATCAAACCTTCGGGGTTCTTCTGGGCAGAGCGCAGGATCTTGCAAGTTCGTCCGTCGCTTTTCGAGGGCCGCCGTGCCGCTTCAGTCTAAACCGAGCAACATCATGGTGACAGGCCTCGTCCTCGTCCTCGTCCTCCGGGTTGACGGCCGCGAACGGCCCCCGGGCCGGCAGGGAAAAACCTCCCGAGACGGCGCATTGGACCCCACGCGAAAAACAGAGAATGATGGCCCCCGGTGGGAGTGGAAGAAGCGGAGTCACAAACCCGACCGATACCCCAAACAACGACAAAAACATTGAAACCCACCCCAGAAAGACAACCAAACATCCCTTATTTAGGGTGTATGCTACTCCACTTCCGCCCCCCCCCCCGCGAGCAGGCCAGCCCGCTGCCCCACCCCCCTCTGCGTTCCAGCAACAACCCCCGCCGCGAAGGGGTTTGGGGGGAGCAGGCGACCAGAGGAATCCGGCGCCGGGCGTAGTGAGTTTGCTCCCCCCAGATGGTCTTTAAAGAAGGCCATCGGCGCTGGGGCCATCGGCCCGGAAGCGCGGCAAAACGAACGCCCAAGCCCGGCTGTCCGTAACCCTGGAACCAAGGAGGGTGGACGCGGGACCAGCGCAGGCCGCGACACCGTTGTGCCCAAGCTCTCTTGTTTGCGTGTCGTCGATGCGCAGGGGCCAGACTAATCTATTGAGACACGCAACCACACATTAACTCACAAAATCACATTTTCGGTGCTTCGTTGTCGGGTTTTCAGTGCGCACGTCGAAGATCGCACCTGATTCACCGAAGTGCCAACCGGCTACTTAGGGTCCACTACGGGCACCACATCAGAAGCACACGAACATTTAGACAGAATAAGCCGGGTCGCCTGGACCATGGGCACCCCCGGCCTGCCCCCCCGGATGGGGCCGAGAGGGAAAGAGCCGTAGCCCCAACCGCCCTCTCTGGCATGGAATCCGGGGAGGTTTGAGCAGTCCCGTCCCCGCACTCACAATAAGACCAGGAGAAGGGACGACCACAATGTGGCACTATCCGCCAGCACCCGAACATACAGCACAAGTCCCCTCCCCGAGCATAACCTGTTAGGGGGCGCCCTCCTGGGGAGGGCGTGGGTTAGCCGTACCCCTTGGGGGATACGTTGCCCCTGACGCGGCCGCTCAGCCACCGGGGGATCAACAGTGCGGCCGCCAAACCGAACCCCTGGCCCCCGCGCCCCTCCAGGAGGAGGGGGAGGAGGGGAGAGAGGAGGAAGGGGAAAGGAGGAGGGGGAAGAGGGGGAGGGGGACACAACGAGGGCCGGGGGGTGGTTTGATACGGCCGCCTTGTCAACCCCCCAAACGCATCGACTTAGACTCCTGACTGTGAGAACCGTTGACAGGCCGAGACTCGTGGAGGCCTCTGCTCTATGCGTCAGATGGTGATAGGCCTTGGCTTACAGATCGAACACTCAAGTACGTCAGACATTCAGATGCTGAGGCGCCCAACCCTGGTCAGCCTTGACCCTGGTCTAATTTGGTAAAATTCGTCACCATCTCAGCATGAGCGCGCACGCTCGTGTGGGACGACTATCGGGTGGCTGCGCCGTCTGCTAGCAATGGCAGATGATGGGGCCGATGCGAATGTGGAGAATTGGGACTTGGGCTGGAATCTTCGCTTGGCTTCTTGCGTGTTGCTAAGGACTCGTGTCGCGATTCAGGCGCAGCAGAAGTGTCGGTCGTTGCGGGTAGTCCAGTATAGTCTCGGTCGAGTGGTGCGCAATGTATGCTCAACTGAAGAGCACTCACTACACCGAGGTCCAATGCTACCGATCTTGGATATGACCAAGTCCAACTTCATCAGGACTTGCCTGCAAGCATTATGTGCTTGCTCGGTCCGTTTGTTCACGCTGTCCGATTTCAGTTCCATTGCTTTCCCTGGCACAATGGCAATCTCGACATGCCGCTGGTCGTTTCTACCCTTTTCGCAGTGCGCCGGCGCTGGCGGAACTTTCGGTCGAGCTCCATCCTCGTCTGCATGCCGGAGGCGGCGTTTCTCGGCGGAGGGCCCAGTTGAGAGCGGTGGCCTTCCCGCCCCGCCCAAATCTGCTCAACATCGGTCTCCAGATCCCTCCTGGGATCCATCCTGACCCGTTTTTCAAGGCGGATCCAGCCGTGGCGTCGAGGAGCCTCCAGGAGGCCCAAAAATAGATTCGATCGCCTGCTCCATCGCCCGCTACGCCCTCACGGGCTCATCTGCTTTTCTCTTCTCTTGGCCACACCTGTCACTGCGACGCGCAGGCTGGCATAGTTTCAGGCCGCAGCCCCCAAGCCAACATCGTAGGTCGCTTCGTCCTAGTCGGTCTAGCGCCCTGCTCCCTCCTCGCAAGCGCTGCGAGCACCGATCTTGAAGCCCGACCAACGTCAACACCACACCCAAACAGCACGAAAGACTTCAGGGGGGCCGCCGCTGTCTCGACTGGCCCCCCGCCGAGCTCCGGGGGCACGCGCCGTGCTCGGCACCACTTGTTGCGGCCCCGGGTGGGGGCCCAGAAGTCCGCTCCCACTCGGCACCGGGGCGCATCCTGGGGTCCATCCTGACCCGTTTGTCGAGGCGCAGCTCCGCCACAGAAACACACACAAACACACACACACACACACACCCTCCAATGGATCGTTCCTGGTCCTCGGGGGAGGGTTGCTGTGTACAAATCACCAGTGGGAGCCAGCGACTTTGCACACCGCCGCCCTCCTTGAAGGTACCTGCAAAGTTCGTCGCAGGGTGTCTTAGTGCATAACTCTTTGTGGCGAAGCATCCCGCCGCGGCGACGAGGAGCCTCCTGGAGGCCGCAGAAAAACCGTGCGAAGAGCGCGAGGGAGGACCGCCGCCGTCCCGACGGGCCCCCCCCCCGCCGAGTTTCGGGGGGTAGCGCGCGCTGGGCTCGGCGGCATTTTCTGGCCCCGGGTGGCGGGTAGGGGGTCCAGGATCGGCGGCGAGCGAGCGAGCGAGGGGGGGGGGGGGCGAGAAAGGCCTTGAGATGCTGGCGACTCCATTGTTTCGAGCCCCAGCGTTTTCGCCCAACGTCGGGCCCCAGCACCCTCACAGATCGATTTGGCTAGAAAAATGACGCCGAAAATTTGGGTCTAGGGCTCCGGTCGTGATTTTTCACGATGCGTCAATTTTTTCGAGACGTCGGATCTCAGGGGGGCGGGCCTTCTCAGAAGGCTCCGAAGTCCCCCAGCCTTCTGGGAAGTGTTCTGAGCCAGCCTCCCCCGAAGACGCAGGAAGCCTCGCAGAAGGCGCGAGGGCTTCTGAGAAGCCACGCTGCCTTTGCGAGGGCCTTCTCCTCCTCACTTCCCCCCCCTCGCTCGCCGCCGACAGGAGCCCCTCGCGCGCTCCCCACGCGCTCGCCCCTCCCCGAGCGCCGAGGTCGCGTCGAGAAGTGAGATTCCTTTGCGCACCGCGCGGGGGCGGCGAGAGGGGCGGATAGCCCAGGGGGGGCAGTGCGCGTGAGGCGTTCGAGGATCGAAGGGGTTGCCATCTCTCCCCCAGCGGAAGGCGGCAGAGGGCCGGCGGAAGGCGGCGGAAGCAAAGCAATGGCGGCTCCGCAGGCGGAAGCCGGCGGAAGCTGGCAGGAGTCAACGATGCGCCCCCAAGAGATGGCTGCATCAGGGGGGCGCCGATGGTCCATGTCTTCGGCGAGGCTCCTGGAGGAACACGTGTAAGTCGGTGTCCCTCTACAGGGGGAATATTCGAAAATAGTCAAGAACAGTCTGGGTACGATTGTTTGACCATTTGTGATGATGTTTGGTGCGTTTTTTTCGTTCGTCCAAAATCCGCCTGTAAGGGGACACGCCCGACCTAAGAATACGTGAAAGTCGCGCCCCTCGCCCCAGCCGTCGCCCCCGAACCGTGCAGTGCAGAGGGTGGCGAGCCGTCTCCCCATTGCAATAGGAGGTCATCAGAGGTCAGCCACGCGCAGAGGGGGGTGGAGGGAGGGGGGATGGCTTCTTAGAAACATCCCTGCTTCTTAGAAGGCGCGGGCCTACTCTATAGATGTCGGCGCCTTCTAAGAAGCAACCTCCTTCTAAGAAGCCCTCCCCCCTCCCTCCACCCCCTTGTGCGCGCCGCCAAAAGGGGCCCTGAAGACTCGAAGCACAGAGGAGGGCGAGTCGAGGCAACGGTAGTTTGCCTTTCACGGGCCCTTTCTCGTCGTCACGGCTGGACGCAGCTCGGACAGTTTGTGCATTGGGACCCTGGGAAGGGTCCGGAGAACGATTTTGAGCTGGCATTGCTTCAAATCGCCCTGCTCCGAGAAGTGGATTTGTTCTCTCGTTGGCGTCGGTCCATATGCGTAACCAGGCAGCGGGATGCAGCTGACGTGGCTGGCCTGCGCGAGGCTGGAACGTTGCCGCCTGTCTTTCGAACCTTCGGCCCTGATGCGGCAAGGTACGCCAGCCCTCCGCATGTGCATCCAACGAGTGGACCCGACGTGCTCCGCAGAGTCCAGCGTGTCGTGCTCTCCAGCGGCTGTCTTCGGCCCGCGGGACCGTCGAGCAACGATTCAGGGACGGAGGGATCTGGGGATCTAAGGGCGCTCTCGAGGGCGCGAAGTTTTTCGCGCTTCGCCGTTCGGCTCCGATTCCTCCTCATCCTCCTCTCTCCCCTGGGAGGCGGGCGGCGCGAGAGCGCTAAGTTATTCGCACTTGGCGCTTCGCACAGCGCGAAGCGCAAAGTTGGGAGCCCTTGGGGATCGCGTGTCCGAAACATCGCAACGTCGGAGGTGTGTCTAGTTCGGTATCGGTTAACCAATCCCCGTCCCCGTCCCCGTCCCTTTCGAGAGCCCCACCAAATTACCACCCCAGTTGGGGATACACACCTCGAGACTCGAAGGGAACGACCCATATCCCCATCTAGGGGGGTATATCGGCCGGTGGGGCCCAGGCCACGCCGCTGGGGATGGGGATCGGTCAAACGATACTCACCAGTCTTGGCCTCGCCAGAGGCGAAATGCCCGGGACGAAGTAGCTACGGCATCACTCCAACATTCTAGGACGGCTGCGCGGATCCTGTGGGTCGGCGCCTCGCCCCCCCCCAGCCACACCCCGCCCCCATCCGAGGCAGGGTTTACCCATAACCACCTACGGTAGGTTCGCGCGGCGTATTGGCGCGCCAGCGACGTCGGCGACGGCGTTCAAGGTTGAATTCCGCGACGCGGAAGCACCCAGGGACACGATAACGCCAGTGGGCCCGACGGAATTCAACCTTGAGCGATCGGGGCCGTGATCGATTCAAGGTCGAACGATCGACGCGGTGTCAAAAACCTTTGCGTGCGCCGGCGCCGCACGAACCGACCGTAGGGGGGATCGATCTGCGCGGACCTCCATAGACGGGCCCTTGGGGACCAACATATACCCCTATCCACCGCCCGCTGGCGCACCGGGACGTCGGTTCCCAGGTGGTGGATATGGATGAATGCCCCGCCTCGCACCCCAGCACGCTCCGAGCGCCTCGGAGGGGGTGTTGGAAAGGGTCCCGTCGGCGACCCCAGAAATCGGCGCCGACCTCCGAGAAGTGAAGCATTCCTTTTACGCAGCTGTCTGGCCTTGTACCTCGCACGACGACCCACCGTCGCAGGCAATTTCTCATGGCCCCTCGCGCTCAATGGGGTGCCAACAAAACTCGGCCGTTTAGAGAAGATGGCGAGCTCGGGGATTCACCCCTCAGCGGGCTGTTCTCGGACGACGTGTCCCTATCGAGGACGGACCGCGCTCATCGTAGACGCAGCCCCGAGCTGGGCCCGAAGCTTTTTCTTGCCCAGCTGGAAGTTCAACAACATCGGGGATTGAGGTCGCCACGCCCCCGGAGGAGGAGGAGGAAGAGGAGGAGGAGGAGGAGAAGGGCGAAGGAGGAGGAGGAGGAGGAGGAGGAGGAGGTGACGGGCCTCGTTGCCTCACAAAATCGGCGCGCTCCGTCGTCAAACCAGGCGGCGCTGGCCTCTTGTGTCTGGGGCGCCTTCCCCGATCCGTGCATCTGGCGCCCACGCATCCCTAGTCCATGTCAGCGTGCGCCCGACAGATGGCCTCGGGCCTTCTGCTGAGCACCCTCCGACGCCGCAGAGTGCCTCGCAGGAGGCCGGGGTCGGCTTCTGCGAAGCCCCGCCGCCGGCTGCGAAAGCCTGCCCTCAAGCAGTTGCGAAGCGCCCTGGCGAGCCTGAAGGCCCACCAAACAATGTTTGTCAGAACCGTTCGTGGTTTCCAGGGAATGTTCTGATAACATATCTGGCCGACATTGCCTTGTTTTAACACATCGGGCTCATGTTCAAAGAACATGGTTTTTGTTATTAGCACATCTTTGGGTGCTAAGACATGTCGTGATAGGCCTATAGAAATGCCGGGACGGTCGGTCTCTGCTCAATGCCCCCTCTGCCGTCCCCCCTGGGCGCGCCGCCGAAAACCCTGGTCTTGCCCCTTCCGCACCTCCCGCGCGGAATGTGCCGTCGCTGCGGCCTCGACGGTGGCCGCGACAGCAGCTGCGGCAGCATTGCACCTGCCGCAAGGAGGGTGCGGACGGTGGGGCACGCCGCAGGGAGCACGAGCTTGGACGGCCAGAGTCCCCAGAGACCTCCTGGGGCGGGCGGTGGCGTGGCTGCGGGCCGCGCGCGGCCGCCCCAGGCGGCGGAGCCCGAGTCCGCCTGGCCGGCCCGTGGGCGGCGGGCTGCGCCGACGGCCTTTGCGAAGAAGGCCACCCATGGGGGGGTCAGGAGGAAGGCACTGGAGGAAAGCGCTGGGTGGTGGCAGTTGGCGCGTTCAGGCATATCAAGGTCAGAGTTGTGGAGGTACGTTGGCACTCCTCCCCACGGCCGCCTTCGTTGGCTGAGGGGCCTCGGGCCCCTCCGGTGCCTCCGCGGGAGATCGGGCGAGGCTGCAAACCTTCTCGAAATCAAGCACAGGTCGTTTCCCACCCCCATCGCCCTTGAAATTTCAGTGTTCGGCGGCGCGCGCAGCGTGGCCCGCGTTGTCCAGGGGAGAATCTAAGTCGCCAATTTCGACACGGAGATTGGCATCGGGGGTATGGTGGCGCCGCCGCGTTTCAGAAAAAACGTGCGTTTGATTTCGCGGGGGGTGGTAGGACATGGCTAAGTCGTTCCAGAACTTTCTGGAACGCTGCCAGAGTTTTCTGGGACGCTCTGAGGAGGCCGCGGTGCCCAATACATCCTTCAGAGCCGCTGGATCTCGGAGATCCCCGATTTGTCCCTGTCCGGGCCTCGTCTTAGGAGAGTCGCCCTGAGGGGGTCCTGGGTGAAAACGGGTCCTGAGGTCTTTCGCCGTTCTGCGGCCTCTCGGGGCCTTTCCCAGGCTTCCAGGGCTGTGCAAATAAAGCCCTTGCCTTCGGGAACGCTCCAGAGTGCAGGACTCGCTTCCCTCAAGTCCGCTTGTTGTTCATGCCACGTGGGGCGGAGGGGGATGGTGAGGGGTTTCTGGATGTTTCCTGCATGATCTGCATGATCATCTATTCGTCTTCCGTAGAAATTCGGGCTCATGTGATTTTGGTTCAGGCTGGTTTGTCTCAAATGTGTCCATGCAATGTCGACCAGAAGGTCGGCAATATTGGTTGTCACGACGGTCGCTTCACGATGTTGCGCGGCCTTTGTTTCTCAATGCATCAGAATTCCCAGAACCTTTCGAAGCACAACCCACACTCGGCCGCTGTTTGTACGCGTGGTCAGCCCTCGATAAGCTGAGCCCCTCGCGGCGGGGCAGCGCTCTAGCGGTCATCGCCCGTGATGTCCTAAGTGGCGTGCAGTCGGACAAGTGTTTTTCAGACATTGCTTACGGAATGGGCCAACGTGTGGGAGGCCGTTCTGCATACAATTGGTTATGCGATGGCCGCAGAGTTGCGTGCAACAGTTCGTTACTTCATTGGTGTCGAACTCGTGGAATATGGTTGTTCCATTTCCACAACGTGAAGTTTTCATTTCAAGATGTTCGTTCATCGCATGCGTTCGATGATCTGATGCTCGTGTTGTGTTCACCGCGTCGTCTGTACATCTATCAACACGATGTTACGCTTGGAGTTTGCACACCAGGTAGTGGCACAGCTCCCGCTGGCCATGGAGTTGTCCTGCGAGGTGCAGGCAAGGCAAAAATATGGTCTGAGTCGATGGATAGCATATTGCACAAGCTGGACTTACCATCCAATGGATGTCGACATATTGCTGATGTTCCTCTTCAGGACCGCCGAGTCACAGCAACCTGTGAGTTGTACACGGACCAGATATTGGAGCTGGCGTATAGTGGTGTGCCCTTATCGGGCTTAACTCCGACGCAGCGTGGGGTTCAGCTTCAGGCACTAGTGAGGAAGGTTGATGAAGCCATTAATCCACATGCAGAGTTCTTAGATCCAGATCATGGATTTCGTGTCAACGGTTCCAAGCGTAGCATTTATCAAGCTTCATGCGATTGGTTGCGGGGCGCAGTTCGTATTGAGTGCAAATCAGCAAAGATGATATGGACGACGTCTGGTCGGTCCAGCCGATAGATTGTACGATTCAGCCACGACAAGTTTTTGGCTGGAGCGTTTGATCAGCTCTTACTGGCGCTGTATTCCCCCCGAGGCGTCTATATCTATCTGCACGACGGTAGCTTCGGAGTTGCTTCGACAGGAGTCAATTCCCAAGTATTTGGGCATGATATTATGGCAGTTGGCCCAATGGGTGAGGAACATCACGAGATTGCCTTAGATGCCATTCTGGCAAAATTTGATGCATCGGATTGTCGGCTTCTTGCCGTTGTGCGGTGGCGTTGACCCAAGTAGATGTTTTGGCCGTTCACGGCGGACACAGTAGAGGTTGGATTGCAAAACCCTTTATATATGTTTCTGTATACACACATGTGTGCATATGTATATATATATATGTGTTGAAAGTGTGTGCGTTCATGTCTGTACTTTACGGACGTGCCAGCAGGGGTGGTTGGGGAATTCGAGCGAGAAGCGAAAACATCATGCCATAGCCTAACTGACCGAATACATGGCTTCGCCTTCAAGGAATCGAGAGCTTGACATGTCTTCCTTGGAAGAAGGCCCGCGGGAGGCGGCAGAATCAGAACCAGTGTCCGTCCGCCCGCGGAAGCCGACGGAAGCAAACCATGTTCCTTCAATGACAGTTGTTTTCGGAGGCTGGGTATCCGAAGCGTCCCAAATGAGCGAAGCAACAGTGCGGGGTCAGGTGCGAAGCAAACGTGCGGGGTAAGTTGCCTGGAGAAGCTTGCGCGCACGCCCCCTTTCCTCCGCATGACATGCCGCGTGAGCGGCATGCGTCGGCAACTGCAGAAGGTCTCTGTGACATCGTTTGTAGGACGTTTTTAGTTCGTCGCCTGAGTGGCAACGTGGTCTGCCATGTGGGCGTCTTTCCCGGGGCGGCTGGCGCCTGTGTCCCGATGGTCGCGCCGCGGCATCAGCTTCTGAGCCTTTGGCCCACGGGGTCCTTCGATACCAGGAAGCTGGAGACGGCGCGCGCCAGAAAGGGCCTCGCCTTCGAAGCGCCCTCGTCCTCGGCGGACGCTGGCTGAAGGCTTACAGAAGACGGTTATAGTAGAATGGGGGCGGGCCCGCCCGCAGAAGGCGGCAGAAAGTCGTTTGAATGCGGCGGAACTAACAGTGAGATGTCAACAATTTGGGATTCGGGATTTTGGGATTCGGGATTTTGGGAATCGGGCATGCGGAGGGAGGGGGGCGGAGGGAGTCAGGAAATTGGGAAGGATCGCTCCCCCATCTGGGTCACCCCTTCACCGATATCCATTCGCGGGGGATGGGGCACGTTGTGGTAGATCGTGGCCTCCTTGTCGAGTGCACCCGTCCAGTTTTCGCGCAGGCGCCGAGGACCACCGAAGGCCGTCGAGGACCGACGGAAATAGACGAGGGCCGTCGAGGAAAGCCGAGGAGCGCCGGGGAGCGAGCACCGAACGCCGATGGGTGAGGGAGGGTCCGTGGTCGAACGCGTATGGTTACGTCTCTTCGCCCTTCGGGTATTCCCCATTGCTTTTCTCTTTGAGAAATCGCAGTGGGCGTCTCTTTTCGACATGATGTTCTGCATCGGGACTCCAGACCACTGGGGGTGAAAAACCGGTGCTGGGGACAAGGCGCAGAGCCCTCTAGGGTTCCACGGTAATTCTGAGAAAATAACTGCGCTGTCGGAGGTCTGGGTTCGGGCCCGCCTCCCGATAGTCCTTTGGTTGGGCGCACCCCACACAACAGCGCCCTCGGCACTCTTCCTTGAAGGCCTTCGCGGCGAAGGCCTTGACGACGGGCTTGGCCAGCCTCGCTTTTACCCTGGTGGCTCAAAGACGGGGTCTTGAGTGGTGGGAACCGAATGATTGGAAGTGATCCAGGGGTGGATTTACGCTGTTTGAGGCACCTCGTCCTTTAGGCCCCATCCCTCAGGACCCCATCTTTGAACCACCGATTGCCGACACCATTTTCCCGAACGACTCACCTCCCTCAAACAAATCCCCCCTGGACCTCTTCTGCAGTGCGCTCCGGCCAGAGTTTCGGGGCGGACCCAGCCGTGGCCTCGATGCGCACCGGGAGGCAATCAAACACACAGATACAGTCAGAGTCATCGATCCGCGTCTGGGTTACTTGGCCCCTGCCGCGGCCCCCAGCAGGGCTCAGGGTCCGTCTCGTCGGGTCTCGGCGGTTGTTCAGCTTCGGGATACTTCCCACCGGATGCGTATCGCCGAGAGCGTACCAAGGATGCCCGGATCGTCCCGAAGGCCGCCGGAGAGCCAAGTTAGTATGCAAACCATGGGCCACGTTAGGGGGGCTCAGGGGGGAACGTATCGACCCCCGATCGCCCATCGATCACAGGTGTCCGAGAGCCCGCCGCTCCGCTCAGGAACGTGCGGACTCGCCATCGGGGGTTGTCGCCGATCTATCGGCGATGTGGCGCCGATTCCCGGTCTACCCTCCCCCCCTTGAGCCGGCCCCCCCCCGATCGTTCCCCCTCGAATGCAGCGGGGCCATATCCTTTGTTCTCCGACGACGCGCCTGCCTTACCACAGGCCAGGGTACCGAAACGCGCCCGGAGTCCAGCAAAGCATGAGGGTGCAAACCCGACTTCTTTGGCTGATGCTCTGGGGGGGCCTGTGCTCAGGGGAGGCTGCAGCTCCAGTCAACGATGTATTGTTTAACCGAAACTGCAGGGTGGGCCCTTTTCCCAAGTCCTTGCTTCGGTGCAGATCGTCTGCGCACCTCGTCTCCGTCGTCGTTGTCGTCGTTGTCGTCGGCGTCGTCGTGGTCGTGGTGCGTGTTGCTCTGTTCGGGACTTGTTTTCATCATGCAGTAACCACCACCACCTCCACCGCCTCCGCCTCCGCCCCTACAGTTTCAAATGCAGCTGCAGCTCAGGCCCAGTCAGGCCCCCTTCTCAGCATCCGCCACCATCTCCAGACTTGTCTTGAGCACACTGCCAAGACTGTCCCAGTCCGCCGATTCCAGTGGTGGCACGTTCCTTACCCGAGTCCAGATCACATCAATCATCAGCTTCATCCTCGCCCTCCCTCGACTGGGAATGGTCGATGTGTTGAATGCAAATGCATGTGTTTGAACCTGGGGAATATTCTACTTATTTCGTTGCCAGATGTTGATGATGATGATAGAAGTGACGGTGGTGGTGGTGATGTTGACGATGGTGATGGTGATGGTGGTTATGGTGATGATGCTGATGATGATGATGATGTGGTTGTTGTTGCTGATGATGATGATGATGATGATGATGATGATGGTGATGGTGTTGGTGGTGGTGGCGATGATGATGGTGATGGTGCTGATGCTGGTGAAAGAAGAAGGAGAAACTCGTTTGGGCCGTCTAGGGGACCTCCTATGGGGCAGTCTTGAGAATCCCTTCGGGTCGTCTTCGGGAATCTTACGCCGACTTGAGATTTTCCTTGGCCGTCTTGGGACCCTCTTGGCCGTTTGGTGGATGTCTGGGGGGCGTCGTGGAGTCGTCCTGGGGCCGTCTAGGCCTCTTGGACCCTCTTGGCGCCATCGTGGAGTCCTCTAGGGCCGTCTTGAGCTGACGGCAGCCAGAAAAGACGATGATGCGAACATCATTCAAACACCCAGTGGGACTCAATTCTTTACGCTTCGCGTATCCCCACCAGCCCATCTCACAGCAGCAACTCTTGCGAAGCATGCCGACAGTCGTGTTTTTCAGGCGTGTGTCCGCGTGGCCCCGCATATCTCCCCTGTTCCTCCTTCCTCCCGCCTCCTTGTACATCCTCCTTGTGGGGGGAGCGGGAGAAGGACGAGGCGGAGGAGGAGGGAGAGAAAGCGCTCCTCGTGATTTGAGTCGTTTGGGGTTTCTCGTCCTGGTGTGAGTCGTTCGGGCCCTTCTTCCTGGTGTGAGTCGTTCGGGCTCTTCGTGGTGTGAGTCGTTCGGGCTCTTCGTCCTGGTGTGAGTCGTTCGGGCTTCTCGTGGTGTGAGTTGTTCGGGCCCCTCATCCTGGTGTGAGTCGTTCGGGCCCCTCCTCCTGGTGTGACTCGTTCGGGCTCCTCGTGGTGTGAGTCGTTCGGGGCCCGCGTCGTGGTGTGAGTCGTTCGGGCTCCTCGTGGTGTGAGTCGTTCGGGCGCCTCGTCCTGGTGTGAGTCGTTCGGGCCCCTCCTTGTGGTGTGAGTCGTTCGGGCTCTTCGTGGTGTGAGTCGTTCGGGCCCCTCGTCCTGGTGTGAGTCGTTCGGGCTCCTCGTGGGGCCTCTTGGGGGCCTCTTGGAGCCTCTTGGGGCCTCTTGGGGGCCTCTTGGGGGCCTCTTGGGGGCCTCTTGGGGGCCTCTTGGGGCCTCTTCTTGGGGGCCTCTTGGGGGCCTCTTGGGGGCCTCTTGGGGCCGCTTGGGGGCCTCTTGGGGGCCTCTTGGAGGCCTCTTGGGAGCCTCCTGGGAGCCTCTTGGGGCCATCTTGGGGCCTCTTGCGACCTCCTCAGAAGCGCAAATGAGCGCTGGCCCCTGAGAAGGACAAAATGAGGCCAAAACCTTCGTAAAATCAATGATTTTGCTATGAAGGAAGAGGAGCGCGGCCCCCTCAGAAGGCCAAAATGGGGCCAAAACCGTAGTAAAATCAATGTTTTCTGCTTCAAAGACGGTCTGAGGTGCCAAACTCCCCCCCCCCCCCTCGGGGCCAGAATCCTCGTGAGGGTCGTCGTTTTTTGGCCCTCCCAGGAGTCAAAAAAGACCCCCCCTGACGACGCCCCGGACTCCCTCTCCAGGCCCAGGGGGAGGGGGTAGGGGGAGGGGTAAACCCCTCCCCGAAGGGGAAGAAGGGGGGTTGGGGGGTTGAGAACAGAGAGAGCTCTCTAAACCACTCACGCCCAAAGGGCTGGTGGGATTTTGGCTTCTTCGGACCCTGTTGGTGGTCCTCTTGTGACACTTCCGGGCCCTCTTGAAGACATCTTGGGCAGTTTTGCAGCAATAGTCGGACGCCTTGGGGCTATGTTCGGCAGTATTCGAGGCACCGTGGGCCATTTGGGTATCCATGGTTGCTTGCATTTGCCGCCTTGGGAGCTCGGGACGCATGTCCATCGTGTATAACCATGGATCGTGGCGTGGGAGGTCCTGGATCGCTTGGGAGCAGAGCCCGGGAATGCGTAAAGTGCACGATCCTCGAGCGGGCGTGCGTGGGATTCGGGGTCTAGGATGTATCGGCCATGCAGAACGTGCGCAATCCTCGAGCGGGCGCGCATGGAATCAGGGTTTAGGAATTAGCTGCCGTGCGGAAAGTGCACCAATCTTGAGCGAGCACGCGTGGAAGGGGGGTTCAGGCGTTAGCTGTCATGCGGGAAGTGCGTCATCCTCGAGCGAGCACGCATGGAATGGGGGTTTAGGAGTTAGCTGCCATGCGGGAAGTGCACCATCCTCGAGAGGGCACGCGTGGAATGGGGGGTTAGGCATTTGCTGCCATGCTGGGAGTTCACCATCCTCGAGCGGGCACGCGTGGAAAGTGGCCGCGGTGAGTAGGAGGAATGCACGTGAGACTCTGATGGCAGAAAAGGAGCCGGTCTCTTTCTAGCGTGCACAGAACCCTACCAGACAGCCCTTGGCATTCCTCCAGGCCTGGGCGATCCAGGGGGCTCGGTGGCGGATTTAGCGGGTGAACTTGCATGAACGCAGTGCATTATAGCAACATGTTGTGCAAGTTGGGGGCGTTGTGGTCCATGTGTCGCGATGATGTTGAGTACGATGCTGAGGACGACGAGGGTGCCCGTGATGGTTATGTTGTTGATGATGATGATGGTGATGATGATGGTGATGGCGACGATGACGATGATGGTGAAGATGATGAGGATGATGATGATGCTTGTGATGATGATGATGATGATGATGAGGATCGTGATCATGATGATGCTGATAATGATGATGTTGATCGTAGAATGCTGCTGCTTATGGTGATGTCGGTGACGATGATGATGATGCTGATGATGATGATGATGGTGATGATGGTGATGATGATGATGATGACGGTGAAGTCGGTGGTGATGATGGTGATGATGATGATGATGATGATGATGATGATGATGAGGACGATGCTGATGATGATGAGGATGATGATGACGACGACGACGACGACCAGCAGCGGCGAGGATGATGAGCACCCTAGTAGGGATGTAACGATGCAGACGCTCTCAATCTCCAACTCCCGACCTCCTGGCATCAGCCGCCGCCGCCGGCGCGTGGGACCCGATCGACGCCGCAGGAGGCCAACGTCACCACCTGCGCCGAGGGCTTCCGCTGCGTCTCCCGCGTCCGCCGCTTCGGCAGCCCCCGCCCCGCCGCCCGCCGCCTCGCCCCGCGCTGTGCCCGGGAGCGGCCGACTGAGAGGGCGTCGACGACGACGACGACGGCGACGACGACGACGACGACGACGCCGACGACGACGACGACGACGACGACAACGACGGTCGAGAGCGCTGCCCCAGCGGGGCGGCGCCCGGCGGGGAACAACCGGCAGAAACACAAATGGTCAGGCCGTTCCTTTACCCCTGGCGATCTCGGGCGTGACCGCCGGTCACGTCACGATTCGAGCCAGCGACATTTTGGAATGCTCAGGAGTTGCTGATTTTCACACGGCGGCGGCGCGAATCGTGACGTGACCAAGAAAGGGTGGGTTGGGGGGGAGCGGGGCCGGTCATGGGCGTTATCGCGGATAGTAAACAATTGGCTCTAGCAGCAATGGTGAAGATGCGGCTCGAGGAGTAGGAGGTCGGTTATAGGGAACAGAGTCCAAAGCACGGCCATGTGCACCTCCGTGACTTTTTGTGCGAGAGATCGTGGCCGTGCAGACCAAGCATGTAGCTGGCATTGAGGCGATAGCACGATTACGGAATACATTGTTTGGAAGTCTCAGGCGAAACGGTTGCCAGACAGGGCGGTCTTGGGTTCCCCTACTTTCCTATGAGACTATTCTGCTGTTTCTGCTTGTCAATGTTTGCACTCTCGAGCGAAACGCTATTCGGATTCTGTTCGAAGCTGCGCGCGGATTTCCTGGATTTGCACTGGAACCCCCCTCGGAACGCCTCCAGTGGCGCCCCTGGCGCGCCCCGCGCGTCAGGGAGGGAGGTCCAGCAGCCGGTCCGAGAAATCCTCGCAGACTCCCGAACGTTTGTGTCTATGCCGCGTGTTATTCTTCAAAATTTTACCCAGGCGTTCCACCACTCGCAACGTGCCCACTCGCAAACGTCAGAAAAAAAAACATGTGGATCCAGGCCCCAGGCCATTTGCGAGCAGTTACTTTGCCAGTAGTGTCTCACATTGACGTGTCTATTCTCCACCTCTTGTGCCCGGCCCCGCCCGCCAGGGGCCGAGATGTTTGAAAAGCCGTGTGTGTGTGTGAGTGTGTGTGTGTGTTTTCATTCATTCTGGCCTCTGTGACCTGCTGACGGGCTCCGGGGCCATCAAGGATTGGTCGGGGCGAAACACTGGCCCAGGGGCAGACCTCCTGGGGCCGCGCGCTGAAGGAATCCGATCCTCGGATAATTGGGGAGCGGCCGGCCTTGGCAGCGCGCAGCGGGAGCGGCCCTCTGAGAAGGCTGGGCCGGGAGCTCCTCGGGAGTCAGAGGCCCCCCCCCCCTCTGAGAAGGCCGGGAGCTCCTCAGGGGCATTCTCAGAACCGACGCAGAGGCCACCCCCCTCGCGCCGAGCCCACGCCGAGTGCGCGCTGCCGACGACGGAGAGCGCCAGCGGGCCATGGACGGTAGGGCAGGTTCGCGTCGTGCCGACGGAGCGGCGACCTCGCCGCGGGCGTTCGAGGGTGAGCTGCGCCAGTGGCCAAGAACGGGCCAGCAAGAAACGATCGGGCGAGCGAGAAGCCACCGACCGTTCAAGCTTGATCGATCCACGCGGTGTCCGAAGCCGGCGCCAACGTCCTCACGACACGAACTTGCCGTATTGACATAGATTTCTCCGCCACGGGGGTGTAAATTCTGCCAGGCGTCCCCCTTTGTCGGAGGAGCTTATGCCACATAGTCTCCCGTTCGCGAACAGGCCGTTGGTGATTTGACAAAGCAAGCACGAGGTTGGTGTTCGTTTGTCTTGCCATTGTCTGGCATACACAGCCAGGAAACAAGTTATAACAAAATTAACAAGACGATCATCACAAAGGATTTGCAGACGGCAACGCCCAAAGAGGATCATTAAGCGATATTCGCCTTTCAATGTTGACCGCGCGCGCAGGCGTGCACGATGGGCCAGGTCATTGATATGCCACACTTTGCCTTGCGCGCCCAGTGGCAACATTGGGAGGCGGACGCCACTTAATGCCCAGGTGCTCTTCCAAGTTTGTCCTTCGCAGGGCCGCTGGCGTGGGCGGTTCCACCTTCTGCCTTGCGGTTTCGCTACCGCCAGTCGGATGGCTAACGTGCGACGCGCAATGCAGACGAACGGTTTCCCGTAACATTGACAGGCGGTTGTCACTTTTTGCGACGGGCCCCTTCTGGTCGTATTCCACATTTTTTTGGTTTTCATCCTTGTGCCACTTTTGTTATAAACATTTATCCGCGCGATTCCCTTTTTGTGTTTTAGCGTGCCGCGCTGTGGGGCCTGTGGGACGCGTGAGACTTGTGCCCCTGTGGGATGTGTGCGACTTGTGGGATTTGCGAGGCGTGCGGGACCTGGGCGACTCGTGGGATCGGTGGGTTTTGCGGGATTCGGGCGACCTGTGCGACCTGCGAAGCTTGTGGGAGCTGTGGGGCCTGGAAGACCTGTGGGACCTGTGCAAAACGTCGGCCTTGCTTGGACCTGCGAGAGGCCCGCGGGCCTTGCGGGATCTATAGAGCTTGTGGGACCCGCGGGGCTTGTGCGACCTGTGGCACCTCTGGGACCTGCGAGACCTGTGGGACCTGCGAGACTTGTGGGGCCTGTGAGACCTGTGCGGCTTGTGACGCTTGGGGGACCTGTGGGACTGACGAGACCGTGGGACTTGTGAAGCGTTGTCCAACGAACCGTGGTGAAGATCCGGCGGGGGGCGGGTTTCATTATGTAGTGGTACCGGGGAAGAGCCCAATCATCATCTTTGTAAGGCTTTAGGGTTATGGGGCTATCAGGCTATAGGGCTACAAGGCTATGGGGCTATAGGGCTACAGGGCCATAGGGCTATAGGGCTATAGGGCTATGGGGCTGTAGGGCTATAGGGTTATAGAGCTATAAGGCTATACGGCTATAGGGCTATTGGGGCTATAGTGCTACAGGGCTATAGGGCTATATAGAGCTACTGGCTACCTGGGCACCCGGGCACCCAGGCACCCAGGCTCCCGGGCACACGGGCACCCGGGCACCCGGGCACCCGGGCACCTAGGCACCCGGGCACCCGGGCACCCGGGCACCCCCGGGCATCCCCGGGCACCCCCGGGCACCCGACCGCCGGCCACCAAATCGGCGCCGCACCTCACCTAACCATATGAATCCGCTAGGACCCCTACAGAGTGAAGCTCTGATTGGGGAAGTTGCCACACGGGGCGCAGTTTTGGTTGCAATCCCACTTAACGATCGGACGGGTACGGGCTCAGTGTGAATTCGTTCGCAGAACGCATTTCGCGTAAAGTGGCGTGCCCTGGCGTGCCCACTTTGCGTTTTGGTTGTTCCGCGTTTTTTCTTTCGTGGGAATGGTTTCTTCTAACACATGAATTATGTGTTTCTTGATTCTTATTTGGAATGCTTTTTCTTTTAAACCAATATATATATATATATATATATATATATATATATATATGTATACATATATATGTATATATATATATATATGGTTACTTTCCCTACCTAGGCTCTGCCTAGAAGGGTTCTTGCTCTCTTAGCTTAAAGGGGCCGGGCAGTGCAACACGCCCCGGGCGGTTCCCCCAGTCCCCTGGGAGCGGTTCCCCCCAGTCCCCTGGGATTTTTAGCTTTAGTTTTAGCTTTAGCTTTAGCTTTAGCTTTAGCTTTAGCTTTAGCTTAGCTTTAGCTCAGCTTTAGCTTAACTGTAGCTTAGCTTTAGCTTCGCGTTTCGCTTAGCTTTAGCTTAGCTTGAGCTTAGCTTGAGCTTAGCTTGAGCTTAACTTGAGCTTAGCTTTAGCTTAGCTTTAGCTTAGCTGTAGCTAAGCTGTAGCTTAGCTGCTGCTCAGCTTTAGCTTAGATTTAGCTTAGCTTTAGCTTAGCTTTAGCTTACCTTTAGCTTAGCTTTAGCTTAGCTTTAGCTTAGTTTTAGCTTAGTTTTAGCTTAGCTTTAGCTTAGCTTCAGCTGAGCGTTACTGGTACTACTAATGCTGGTTTCCTAAGGGGTTCCAACTCCTAGGTAGGGTCGCACTGGGATAATTTATTTTAACAGAGAATTTCAAACGGTTCCACTTTACGATTTGTGTTTCCCTTTCCTTTTTTTTCCACATACACACACACACACGGAACGCGGAAACAACACAGATCGTAAGCAGGACACGCCACTTTACGAAAAGTGCGTCCCGTGAGTGATTTTACACAGTCAACCTGCCACTGCCCGATCGTCAAGTGGGGTCCGTGGGCAACGGGAAGTGCGTCCCGTGTATTAATTCACACAGTGAACCTGAGGCCGCCCGCGTCCAATATTTAAGTAGTTTCGCCAGACATCGAGCGTTTGCCACCATGAGCGGATTTTCAAAGTGAGCCCGCTCCCTCCTAATAGGGAGTTGCGTCTGACAGCGACGGGCGGGTCTTGGGCCCCAGGCCCAGAACGCAGCGGTTATTGCCAGGAACGGCGGGCGAGGACGACGACGACCACGTCGACGACGACGACGATGACGACCACGACGACGGCGACGACGACGACTACGACGACCACGACGACGACGGCGACCACGGCGACCTCGACGACCGCGACGAAGTCGACTTGCGTTCTCGCCACATCGCCGGCCACTGGTTAACTCCCGCTCCTCCGCCGAAAGATCATCAGCATCCACACTCTCGTCTTCCTTCTAATCCTCCAGCGTATCCTCCCTCCTCGTTTTCCTCCTCCTGCGCGTCTTCATGTTCTTTTACCTCGCGTTCCCCCCCTAGCCTCCAAAGGGAGCCAGGACAGACCGCGGCAGCCTTCCGGGTACCATTTTATGTATTTGGTACCGCGCGCTCCCCGTTCCATCTGCCCGAGCGGCAAAGGTCGCCGACGCTATAAGGAAATCGCCGCCAGGTCGATTGGAACACGCCCAAACAGTTTCGACATCCACACAGCCGGGCAACCATATAACAACATAACAAGACGATCTTCGTGAATGATCTGCGGGCGGCAGCGCCCAAGAAGGATCAATACATGATATTCGCCTATTCAATGTTGGCCGCGCGCGAAAGGCGTGCACGATGGGCCAGACCACTGATATGCCGCACTTTTGTTTTGCGCGCCCAGTGGCAACATTGGGAGGCGGACGCCATTTAATGCCGGGGTGCTCTTCCAAGTTCATCATTCGCAGGGCCGTTGGCGCGGGCGGTTCCACGTGTTGCCTCGCGTTTCCGTTTCTCCAGTCGGATGGCTAACGTGCGACGCGCAACGCAGACGATTTTTTCCGTAAAATTGACAGGCGGATGTCACTTGATGCGACGAGCCCCCCTTGGTCGGATTCTATGTTTTTTCTGCGTACATCCCTGTGCCACTCTTGTTATATTTTCACTGCGATGTAGTTGGGCGTGCTCGGCCTTCACATTTTGGCCAGAACGCATAGGATTGGATCCCAGGGATGGCGAATCATATTGCAAGTGTCTTGAGGCCAGTTCCGCCGACTTTGAGAAGCGAACAGTTTGGGCGCAAGAGGCGGGAGACGGACTGGGGCAAAGGGCAGTGGCTGCCTCAATGCGAGGGCGATATCTACTGGGTCTCAGCCCATCCCGCCACTCTGCCTGGGTCGTTGTCCACAAGCCTTAGGGACATTCGGGGGGACTTGACGGGCTTATTGGATGTCTTCGGGCCTTTGTGGCGCACTTGCTGCGTCTTGGATCGTCTTGGGGCCTCTTCTGGGCCTCGTGGGGGTTTTCGCTTCATGTTGGACGGGTTTGCTTCCAGCGGGGCGACAACAGTGGCGTCCTTTGGCCCGCTCTTGTGGCCTTCCTAGCGGCCTCCCAGGCCCCCCTTTTGGGGCCTCTTGGGCTGGTCTTGGGTTTGTTTTGGGTCGTTTTGGACGCCCTGTCGATCGATGCGGCCGGAACGCTGAAGGATTTAGCCGGCGTTTGCCTCTTGTGCCGGCCCCGTGGACCTCCAGGACGGCCCGCGATATTCCCAACAACCAGGAGTTCCGAGGTTAGTCCCGAGAGGGGGCAAGCGAGCTCAGGAGGGAGGGGCGCGGGGGAGGCGCATCTTCTTTCACCACCCCCCCCAGAGCCTCCCCAGGGACCCCCCCCTCAGATACCCCCCTTGCCGCCACCCCCCTGGGCTTCTCCCGGGCCGAGAAGAGATCAACGAGAGTCAGTTTATGAGTTTCTCTTCGTTTTGGCTTCGATATTGGTCGATTCACTTCGGGTTGGCGAGCTTGGAGAGCTCCTGTCTAGGCCTCCCAACAAGTGGTGTCGAAGTAGACTGGGTCAGAGGATCGCTTCGCATAGCCGATTCATCGGCGATGCGGAGCGAAGTGAAACCCGACTTTCTCCACGGCCCAGGCGCCAGTGCGTCGCCGACGTCGAGCCCCCAGCGCCCCCGAACCCCGCGGCACGCTGCGCCGCTGGAGGCTTCGTTCTGCTCCACAGCGATTGCATCGCCGTGGCGTGTGGTTCGAATGGCCAGGACCAGTGCGATTTCCCTGCGCCAGCGGACTGCCGGAGCTTCACGCAGGTGGCCGCGTGATAACTCCACACCATGTCGCGGTGCGTGGCCAGAATGACAAGGGCCAGTACGACTTCTTGGCGCCGGCGGACGGCATGAGAGTTGGGCGTTGCGCAATGGGGGGCAATGATTGGGGGGTAGAAGAAGGGTGTAGCTTTTGATGCGTAAAGGGCCCGTAAAGGGGGCCCTCTGTGGCCCAAAAGGGGCACGACAGTTGCACGGTCCCCCCCCTCTTACGCAACGCCCGAGTGAGTCCTGCAGGTGGCCGCTGGAGGACACCACACCGTTTCGCTCCAAGGCAATGATGCCGCCGTGGTGTGTGGCAAAGATGGCGTCGGCCAGTGCGACCTCCCGGTGCCGGCAGAGGGCCTGAGCTTCACGAAGGTGGCTGCTGGAGGAACGCCACACCGTTCTGCTCCAGAGCGATGGCGCCGCCGTGGCGTGTGGCGTTAATGGCGCGGGCCAGTGCGACCACGTACGTAGCTAATTTGCCCACGTTGCCGCGGGATACGGGGCGCTTCGTCGCCGCGGCAGCTGCAGCCCGAGCCCCAAGCGCCCCCGAGCACTGCCGCGGCGGGCGGGCCCTCGCAGACGAGCGCAGCTGGAGGGTACCACACCGTTCTGCTCCAGAGCGATGGTGCCGCCGTGGCGTGCGGCCATAATCACATCGGCCAGTGCGACCTCCCGGTGCCGGCGGAGGGCCTGAGCTTCACACAGGTGGCCGTTGGAGGAACGCCACACCGTTCTGCCCCAGAGCGATGGCGCCGCCGTGGCGCGTGGCTTCAATGGCCAGGGCCAGTGCGACCTCCCCGCGCCGGTGGAAGGCCTGAGCTTCACGCAGGTGGCCGCTGGAGGGTTCCACACCGTTCTGCTCCAGAGCAATGGCACCGCCGTGGCGTGTGGCCAAAACTACTCGGGCCAGTGCGACCTCCCGCCGCCAGCGGACGGCCTGAGCTTCACGCAGATGGCCGCTGGAGGGGGCCACACCGTTCTGCTCCAGAGCGATGGCACCGCCGTGGTGTGTGGCGAGGATGGCGTCGACCAGTGCGACCTCCCGGTGCCAGCAGAAGGCCTGAGCTTCACGCAGGTGGCCGTTGGACGGGGCCACATCGTTCTGCTCAAGAGCGGTGGCGCCGCCGTGGCGTGTGGCGTTAATGGCGCGGGCCAGTGCGACCTCCGCGCGTCGGCGGGGGGCCTGAGCTTCACGCAGGTGGCTGCAGGAGGGAACCACACCGTTTTGCTCCAGAGCGGTGGCGCCAGCAGAAGGCCTCACGGAACTTGCCAACGTTGTTCTTGCAGGCATTTGACGACGGCCATTCGATGTGTTTCACGACGCGGGATGGGGTGGAGCGTTGCCGACCTGTGGCCGCACCTTGCGTCCGCCCGGCGATCATTCAGGTACACTTGACGGCCACTCACCGGGTGGGCAGGCCTGGCCTCAGACTCGTGCGAGTCGACGCCGCTTTGCGGGGGGCCGACTGCTGAGCAACGCGTCGGCCGAAGAGACGGTGGTGAGTGTTTTCGGGCTCGATCCACGCTGAGACGACGTGCAGCGTGCGGGCCTAGACGCCGAAAGCTTTTGGCGATCTGGTTGCCGAAGAGGATGTGTGTGTGCGACGTTTTTGAAGAACATGAGATTTTCAATCCAGCTGCGCTGCCGCGCTCATGCGTCGCGCTGTGGGATTGGAGGAGGACGGGGGAGAGGGGCCTGGGTGGATGCTGGAGGGGAGAATGGCCATATGGGCCCCAACACCTCACCAGGAGCTGCTGTTTCTGCTCGCATCTTTCGTGTGGAGGGCCAGACACGCAGGGACTTCGGGCCCAAAGCGGAAGCACGTTGGGCTCGAGGCGTCGGGGGTGGTGGTATCCAACAAATCCTTTTGCGCCCTCTCTCTCTCCGCGCCGGGATACGGGGCGCTTCGTCGCCGCGGCAGCTGCAGCCCGAGCCCCAAGCGCCCCCGAGCACTGCCGCGGCGGGCGGGCCCTCGCAGACGAGCGCAGCTGGAGGGTACCACACCGTTCTGCTCCAGAGCGATGGTGCCGCCGTGGCGTGCGGCCATAATCACATCGGCCAGTGCGACCTCCCGGTGCCGGCGGAGGGCCTGAGCTTCACACAGGTGGCCGTTGGAGGAACGCCACACCGTTCTGCCCCAGAGCGATGGCGCCGCCGTGGCGCGTGGCTTCAATGGCCAGGGCCAGTGCGACCTCCCCGCGCCGGTGGAAGGCCTGAGCTTCACGCAGGTGGCCGCTGGAGGGTTCCACACCGTTCTGCTCCAGAGCAATGGCACCGCCGTGGCGTGTGGCCAAAACTACTCGGGCCAGTGCGACCTCCCGCCGCCAGCGGACGGCCTGAGCTTCACGCAGATGGCCGCTGGAGGGGGCCACACCGTTCTGCTCCAGAGCGATGGCACCGCCGTGGTGTGTGGCGAGGATGGCGTCGACCAGTGCGACCTCCCGGTGCCAGCAGAAGGCCTGAGCTTCACGCAGGTGGCCGTTGGACGGGGCCACATCGTTCTGCTCAAGAGCGGTGGCGCCGCCGTGGCGTGTGGCGTTAATGGCGCGGGCCAGTGCGACCTCCCAGCGCTGGCGGAAGGCCTCACGTACGTAGCTAATTTGCCCACGTTGCTCTTGCAGGCATTTGTCGACACTTGCTTCATGACGCTGGGTGCTCTTGCAGGCATTTGTCGGTTGTGGCCGCACCAGACGCTCGCCTGGCCACCATTCGAAAGCAGTTGATCTCCACTCACCGGGTGGGCAGGCGTAGTTTCGGACTTGTGCGAGTGTATGCTGTCTTGCCAGGGGGCCGAGTGCCGAGCAACGCGTCGGCCGAGGAGACGGTGGCGAGTGCTTTCGGGCCCGATCCACGTTGAGACGCCGTGCTGCGGGCCTGGACGCCAAGGCGTTCGCCGAGCTGCATACGTTTACATACACATATATATATATATATATATATATATATATATATCCCGGGGGACGAGGTCCCCCGGCCGAGCCCAAGGACCTCGGCGGCGCATGGGGGTGCAGGGCCCCCGGGGCCGCTCGGAAGGGTTCCCGTTCGGCTCCAGAGACCGCCAGGGCGGGCTCCAGCCCAGCCAAGACAGCCCGCGAGCGCTCCAACACGCGCCAGCATGGCTTCCAGACGAGCCCAGCGGCCACCAACACGCCCCAAGCGGCCTCCAAGACGCCTCCCAAGAGAGCCCCAAGAGGCCACAAACGTCATTTTTTCATTTTTTTTTCAATGTGTTTTGTCTTCTCGCTTTTCCTGCTTTCCGACGCTCCAAGACGGCCCAAGAGGCCTCAAGAGAGCCCCAGGACGGCCCAAGAGGCCCCTAAGCCGGCCCCAAGCCGGCCCAAGAAACCCCCAAAGGCGTCCCGAGACGGCCCAAAAGGCCCCCAGGACGGCCCGGGAGCCGCCCAAGACAGCTCCACGAGGGCCCCGCCATGGCTTGAAGACTGCCTAAGCGAGCCCAGCGGACCTCCAACACGCGCCAGCATGGCTTCCAAACGAGGCCAGAAGCCACCAACACGCCCCAAGCGGCCTCCAAGAGGCCTCCCAAAGAGCCCCAAGAGGCCACAAACGTTGATTTCTCATTGCTTTTTCTATTTGTTTTGCCTTCTCGCTTTTTCTGTTTTCCGACACTGCCAGACAGTCCAAGAGGCACCCAAGACAGCCCCAGGACGGCCCCAGAGGCCCCTGAGCCGGCCCCAGGACAGCCCAAGAGGCCCCCAAAGGCGTCCCAAGATGGCCCAAGTGAGCCCCAAGACAACCCAGGAGCCGCTCAAGACAGCCCCAGGAGGGCCCCGACATGGCCTGACGACTGCCTAAAAGGCCAGCGAGCCTCCAACACGCGCCAGCATGGCCTCCAGACGAGCCCACAGGCCACCAACACGCCCCAAGCGGCCTCCAAGAGGCCTCCCAAGAGAACCCCAAGAGGCCACAAACGCTGATTTGTCATTGGTTCTTTCGATGTTTTTCGCGTTCTTGTTTTTTTGGCTTTCCGACGCTCCAAGACGGCCCAAGAGGCCCCCAAGAGAGCCCCAGGACGGCCCAAGAGACTCTTAAGCCGGGCCCAAGACGGCCCAAGACGCCCCCAAAGGCGTCCCAAGACGGTCCAAGAGCGCCCCAGGACGGCGCAGGAGTCGCCCAAGACGGCCCCAGGAGGGCCCCGACATGGCCTCAAGATTGCCCGAGCGAGCCCAGCGGACCCCAAGAGGGCCCCACGAGGCCGCAAGAAGCCCCCCGAGGCCCCCCAAGCGCCCCCCAAAAGGCTCCCTGGAGGTTCCCAAGAGGCCCAACAACTCCTCCCAATACGCCCCAGAGACTTCCAGTATGCCTCCAAAAACTGACCCCGAGAGGGTCATGCGAGGCCCCAAGACAGCCCAATGATGGCCACGCGAGAGCCACACCATACATTATGATGATGAGGAGGCGTAAGTAATGGTGGCGAGGGATGCTGATGACAAGGATGGAAGGGGAGCGAAGGATGAGGAGGACTGGGGAGTGACTCGAGGTGAGGAAGGACGAGAACGAGGTGTAGGAAGAGAAGGAGCGGCAGATTGAAGAGAGCGGGGAGGACATGGAGGAGGCTGATGATGATGAGGAGGAGGAGGAGGACGAGGAGGAGAGGAGGACGGGGAGCAGTGACGTAACCAGCCCTTAACATTTACGCTCCCAAGAGCGAAGGGTGCCATGAGCCGTCTCGGGCAAGTTCCTTCAGCGCTCTTTCCGTTTCCGTGCACAACCATTGGCCCATCCATGGATCCATGACGGGGCCCAGGTCAGCGCCGAGGTTGTTCCCGGAGCTTCCAACAAGGTCTCCGAGTTTCACTTCCGCGTCCTGCTCCACCGACCCCGTACCCCATATCGGCTGAAGACATGATGCTGCTGCCTCCGCAGTCACCAGTCAGTATTCTCCTGCTTACTTTCACGGCCTTGCAGGCTGCCATCCATATCGCGGGTCGAGCCGCCGCTCCCTGCACCTCCGTATTCGTGTTCATGGCTCCAGCTGTTACTGTGAGGCCGCGACACACGTGTCATAACTATCGAATTTGCAGTGGACTCCAAGCTCAGATCCCAGTCGAAGGCACCAACAAACGAGAACGTCAAAGATTTTGCAAGCGGTGCCTTTCGGCAGATAAACGGTGTGCCCACCCCCAGTGCGAGGCTCCTGTAGCTCCACCCTTCCGACGGCCAAAAACACATGTCACGTCTACTTTCTGCGCAACGCACTATTCCGACCCATGCCACAATACCACGCGTGAGTGGAACTTGTGTAGGAACGCCCGCGTCGGCTGCCGCCTTCTGGCAACCAACAAATCATCTGGCCCGTGCTTTCCGTGCTCTGAAGGCTCCCTGCCCTGTCGTTTCGCGGTGCTGGGGTGTCCTTCCCGCGTCCGGCAAAAGGTCAAAAATGCATCAGGCCGGCTTCCGCAATGCGTTAACCATCACAACAACCATTCTTGTCCCTACAACCCTGGTCGGCAATTCGCCTGCGCATCGCCTGGTTGCCAGGAGGAACGGAGCGATGCAGCCCACAGTGCTTGCGTCCCATGCCAAGCCGGACGTCGACCGTGCACAGTGTGCTTCTCGCGCCGAGGAGCGCCCGGAACTCCAGATCTGTGCGCTCACTGTGGCGGAGCCAGCCCAGCCGCCAGCCCTTCTCTAGCCGCTCCAGCGCAGTCTTCGACGGCGCTTGCATCTACGCCCTCGCGATGTAGCGCTCCGAAGTGCGAGGCGCCAGCGGTGCAAGAAAGCGCATCTCGAACGGGCGCGCAATGCCCCATGTGCATCGTCGGGGTCTTTCCTTGCGCTGCGGCCAGCTGCAACTTCCGCGTCCCTCGACAGCGCGGACAGCATTGCCTCGTCTGCCAACCGCCCGCCCTGCTCCACTTCTGCCGCACGCCCGCGTGTACGAACGTAGTCGAGTCGCCAGAGGACACTTTGTGTTGTCTTTGCACTTCGTCCTGTTTCCCATGCGCGACGCGTAGGTGCGACGGCCGTTCCACCCCTGGTTCAGCAGGCCTGTGTCGAACGCGCGGGCTGTCCACGCCACAACCACTACCATCCCTCCCCAAACGATCCTACGAGCAAGCCGAACGCCCTTGTAGCTCGTCTGGGTGCAACGGTGTAGCTCTACGGAAGTCGTCCGACGGCCTCTGCATCGCGTGCATTCGGAAAGGGAAGCCATGTAGCAATCGTGCCATTGGGTGCGCTTTTCGCGTGGGCCCTCTCGGCACCGTGGTGGAATGTAGGCACTGTTGCCTCGCGGGGCCCCGTTGCCGGGGGCCCGGAAAGGCCGGCTGCCGCGCCCCCGCCCGCCATGGCGTGCGACGCGCAGTGCCACACAACAACGGCATGTGCGAACGTTGCCTTAAACCCGCATGTTCCTTCCCACTGTGCGACAGAAAGTTGACGAAAACAATGTACGCCACCGGATACTGCCCCGACCACGTCCGACATGCCGCGGTAGCCGCCGCCGCCGCCGGGCCCCATCATCCTCCGACGTCGGGGTTTTCTGGTGTCCCACACGCCCGTCCACGTATCGATCCGTTGCAAGCACTCCGCAAGCAGGTGGGGGCAGCCGTCCGCATGTACCTCCGAGCACGTGACTCGCCGAAATGTTCCGTGCCGTGGTGTCGCCTCAAGTCCACCCGCGTGGCACTTCCGAACTCGTCCAGCTGTCCGCCCGCCTGCGCAGCGCATCGGAACTGGTTCGCAGAACCCGTGCCTGGGACTTCTCTTGGCGTACGCACCGGCCACCGCGCCGGCTGGTGGTCGACAGACGAATGGTGCAGCAACCGCGTTCCGAAAGCGTCGCTCTCTCCGACTGGCCACTTTCAAGGAGCCTGCGCAACGTGCGGGGCTCTGCACTTTTTCGCCGAACGCGCGCGTTGCCCGGCAGCACGCAGAAAGGACTTCGGCGCGTGCTGCAGGTACGGAGTCCTGGCTGGCATCCCCCTACTGCCTCCCGCTCCGGCCGAAATGGCTCAGCTCCTTCGTCCGGGTCCTTCCCACGACCACTTCATGCAGCACATTCGGTCGTGCAACTGCGCCCTTGGATTCGCATCCTTCAACAGCGAGAGCACTGTCGCCGCGCGGAAGACCCGCACGGAAGACCCCCTGTCGGGCACCCGGGCACCCGGGCACCCGGGCACTGCAGGCACCCCGGCACCGGGGCATCCGGGCATCCCCCGGGCACCCGGGAGGGAGGAGGGAGGATGAGGAGGAGGAGAAGGAGGAGGAGTGAACGTCGGGCAGGCGTCCAGCGCAATCCGAGCCGAGGGTAGAGCCAGAAGGAGTAGGAGGTGGAGGGGACCGGGAGGACCGTTTCGGCCGTTCGAAAAAACACCTCATCCATGTCCTCCTCCTCCTCCTCCTCCTCCTCCTCCTCCTCCTCCTGCTCGTTCTCTTCCCCCTCCCTTCCCTAATCAGACTATTCCTCCGCCGGCTCGTCTCGGCCCGGCCCGGCCCGGCTCGGCCAGCGGAGGAGGAGGAGGGAGGAGGAGTGGGAGGATGAAGACAGGACAGGGGGGGGGAGTAGGACGACGAGGAGGAGGAGGAGGAGGAGGAGGAGGAGGAGGAGGAGGAGGAGGGGGAGGAGGGAGGAGGAGGGAGGAGGAGGAGGAGGAGGAGGAGGAGGAGGAGGAGGGAGGAGGAGGAGGAGGAGGAGGAGGAGACGAGGAGGCGGGGAGGGACATGGGCAAGGGGAGGCGGATGAGGATTAATTTGTGGAGGA